CCTGTGTCCTCTCGCGTGTCCTCTCCAATCAAGTCCGACTGTAAGGCTTCTAGATGTCCCGCGTGGCTTCCGGACGGCCCCAAATAGCTCCACGACGGCCCAGGGGAACTCGACGAGCGCTCCCCAGAGAGCCCCAAGGGAGGCAATAAAAACAACGATTGCCCTCAGGTGTTCCCGTGTTCTTTGGGTCATCGATCTTCGAGCTTCCGACGCTCCACGACGTCCCGAGAGGCCCCCAAGACCGCCCCGAGACGTGCCAAGAGGCCTACAAGCGGCCCCCAAGACAGGCCAAGAGGGTTCCGAGCCGCCCAAGACGGCCTCAGAGAACCCCAAGACGGCGCCAAGAGGGGCTCAAGAGCAGGAGCCCCAAGGGGACAATTCTGGCGTTCCGTCCCGAAATGCCCCCAGACGGCCCAAGAGGACCCCCCCGAGAAGTCTGTGCAATTCGTCGGTCATAGCGACAACCTTCACATCGCGGTGGACGGAAGCAGCACCATGCCGATTTTGTCTTGTTTTCAGCGTGCTGCGTATGCGGTAGTACTGTGTGACCCCCAGGCCGAGGCCACCCTCTCGGTAGTGCGTCGCACTGTGCCTGGAGGCTTTCCGCAGTCCCCCGCGATGGCTGAAAACTTCTCGATTGCTGTCGCTTGCCAGATCGCTGATCGCAGTACATGCATGCATGCCGATTGTAAAGCAGCAGTAAGCCAGGCCCGCCTTCCTGAGCACGAACAGCTTCGTGCGAGCAAGGTGTTCGCTGGCGTTTCGGCCTTCGCCCGCTCCCTCAGTGGGCACGGCCACATTAGGTCCCTCCAGCATGTAAAGGCGCATCGAAGCGAGGGCGTGATAGATAACTTGCCGCCTGAGGAGCGGGCGCCTGCGAAAGGTAACCGCGCTGCGGACCTCCACGCCAAGGAGGCTCTCAAGATGCACACTCCCATCGGACCCGAGGCGGCTAATCGCTTAGAGTCAGAAGTAGAGACCGCCAGTAACTTTGTTAAGCTTGCAGCTAGTGTGCTACCAGTCTTCCAGTCCCGAGCGAAGCGCGTTAGGCCCTTTGCCCGTCACCGTTCTGTAAAGTCAGCTCCAGGGTGGCACGAGTGGGAGAGTGGACCGCTAGGTATGCAGTGCAAGCATTGTCTGGTGGTCGCCCATGAGGGTACCCCCCAAGAGGCTCTGGGTTGCTCTGGGGCCCCCGAGTTCGTTCGTCAGGTCGTCCGCCGTTCCCTGGGGCACCTGATAGTAGGTGTGGCCTCTCACGAGATCCACCCCAGAGCCCCAGAGCCATCGCAAGCCAAGAAGAATCGGCTTCAGTTCCTGTGCGTTCGATGCGGCTGCTGGGCCCAGAGGTGCTCCCGTAATCTCGACAAGGAGTGCCAACGACCCTCAAGGAAGGGACGCGAGGTATTAAGCAAGTACTCGCGAGGCCTGGGCCCCAGTAGCCGTGTCCGTCAATTGATCGATAGAGCTGCTGCGGTCACTGCAATGTCTGTGGTCCCCAAGCCGCGTTGTAAGACTCTTGCCCGAACGTCTGTTCCTTCGGCCCATTCGAGTGCCCCCACCGTCCCTGAGTATGAGAGACGGATGGCCGCCCTCGCATAGCGAGTGCGTGCCAAGGAGGCTCACCAGGCTGAGGAGTAGTATTGGGTCGTGGCACCCCGTCGCGGGCCCTGGTCAGAGTGTGGGGAGCTCTGTCCTCCAGGGTAACAAATCCCTCTCTGAGGGGTGCCACTTCCCCCCCCATTGTTTTAGTCTTGCGAGACTCCCCTCGGGGCTGTCCTAACCTAACCTAACCTAACCTGCTCCTCCTCGTTGAGCGTTCCCGAAAGGGCCCCAAGACGCAAAAACAATTAGTTGACCAAACTCCGTAGCCATTTTGGCTCAAGACGTGGGCTCCCGGGCTCGCGCCGTGCTGGCCCGGGCCGCGCCTGGCCCGGGCGCGGGCTGCCATGGCGTCGCCCGCCGCGGCCGCCGTGGGCGCTCCGGCGGGCGACGCCAGCCAGAGCGGCGAGGACGAGGACGAGGACTCGGACACCGACCTGCTCCGCGCGCCGCGCGCGCGGAGCGCGCCCGCCTCCGCACCTCGGGCCCCCGCCGCGGGGCCGCCGCCGCCCCCCGGCGGCGCGCGCGGCCTCGGGCCTCGCGCGGCGCCCGCGTTCCTCGCGGGGCTCGCCCTCGGCCTCGCCATCGGCCTCGCCCTGCACGTCGGCCTCGGCCAGCGCCCTGCCGGCGCCCTCCCTCCCAGCGCCCGCCGCGCCGGCGCCCGCGCCGGCGCCCGCTCTGGCGCAGCCTCCTGTCCAGGCCGAGGCGCCGTCTTGGCCGGCCGCGCTGCCGCCTCCGCCGTCGGCCAGAGCCGGCGTCGAGCGCGTCGTGCTCGCGGAGAATGACTCGGTGGTGCTGCCCGACGGCATCGAGTTGGTGAGCGCCTGGTGGCGTTCGAAGGGCTGGCGCTTCAACGTTAGCGTCGAGCACCTGGTGCAGTGGCAGCTTGACAGCGGCAACCCATCAGTCTACGCCATGTACGAGCTGTATGGTGGGCCTCCAATGCACACCGCTTATGCTAAGGAGCTCGAGATAATATACAGGTTGCCAGTTGACCACGCCGTCCCTACCAGCCCACGTGCCACGAGTCCACCGGGGGTGACAGTACTCGCGCAGATCGGTAATCTGAGCTTTTGGCCAGATTTGAAGGCGTGCATGTTGTCCGTATCGCGTGTTATGAAGGTTTTGGATCACGGATTTCAGGTCTTCTTGTCTTTTCATGACGAGATCCCCGAGGAAGATACCGCAGAGGTCGAGGAGATCGCGCGGGGTGTGTTTGGCAGTGCTGCCGTCAGGAGCATCAGGGTGGAAAACAAGGGAGCGGACATCGGCCCCTACCTGCGTCAGCTCCAGGTGCTGAGCCAGGAACCCCCGGATAAGCATTATGATTTTTTTTGAAGATTCACACCAAGACTGATACTGCATCGAGGCGGCTGTACTTGGATAACCTCTGCGGAAGACGGCATACCCACAGAGTGTACACAAGTTTGCGGCAGTCCCAGGCTATTGGCATGGTAGGCTCTCAGCATACGGTATTCGTTCCACGGTGGGTGCCCATTGTGAATGGGTCAGGGGTCAAATTGGCCCCGGCAATGGTATTTGGGAGACATCTAGAGGAAGTTGAGTCTTTGAGGAGCACGTGGCATATGATGCAGCCCCTCGTGCCGTTTGACGTTCCATATCAACAGCTGCGCGTACTTGCTGGATCGTGCTATTGGGCTCGCCAGGATGCCGTGATGCACGGGATTATTTTGCATTCGGTAGACAAGTTGTTGGCATCAATGCCGCACGGGTACCAGACAGGCTCTGCTGGTCAAACCTCGCACGCGCTCGAGAGACTGATACCGACGATGGCCGTGGCCCTCCGAGGCCTGGAGGTGACGACTGTGCTGGCCTTGGGGGTCGACTCAGCCCGCAACAACGCAACAAAAAAAAAAAAAAACAATTAGTTGACCAAAGGTTGCTTAAAACGTGTTCGGGTATTCCTCTTGCCCAGCTTTCGGCGCCCCACGACGGGCCCAGAGGCCCCCAAGAGTGTTCGAAAACAGGCCAAAAGAGGGCCCCGAGCGGCCATACAGGGGCGCCCAACACGCCCCAAGACCGCCCCAAGAGGGGCCTGAACGCAGGAGCCCAGAGCGATAAATCTAGCCTTTCGTGCTAAGATGCCCCCAGATGGCGCAAGAGGACTCGATGAACGTTCCCCAGATTGCCGCAAGAGACAAAAAAACATTATGTTCCTCATGTGTTCATGCGCTTTCGAAGGTCTCAACTCTTCTAGCTTCTGGCAGTCCACGACGCCACAGAGGCCCCCAAGACCGCCCCGACACGGCCCAAAATGTTACCAAGAGGGTCCCAAAACGGCCAAAGAGAACCACAAGACGGCTCTAGACGCGCCCAAGACGCCCAAAGAGATCTTCGAGACGGCCCCAAAAGGGTCCCAAATTTAACACGACTTGAACACAAACCGCTTCCTCGTCAAGGACGGCGTTGTGTGAAATTTGTGTTAAATCGCTAGGGTTCTGGAGCCGCTCTGGGGAGTTCCCTTGGCGCCCCTTTGGGCCCTCCAAGGCTGTCCTCTAGACCTCTCTTGGGGGCCTGTGGGAGTTTCATGAGAGCCCTAGGAGGCTTCCGGAGGTCATGGAGGCCCCAACAAATTTCCAGAGTCCGGAGACCCCCGGCGACCCCAGAAAAGCAAAACACGCCCCACAATGTGCAATCGTCCGATCACGTCCACAGACGACGACCACCACCACCACCACGACCACTACGACGACCACCATAAAGATCATCGCGACGGCGGCGGCGGCGGCGGCGGCGACGCGGCCCGGAGCCTCCGGGGCCTTCTTCGGCCACCGCGGCAGTCACGGCATTTGCGCAGTCTGGAAATAGAAAGAACTTTCCGACGCGTCGCACGTCGATCCTCGCACGGTTCCGCGACCACCCACCGAACGCGAAGCTACCCCGGAGCAGGCCCAGCACTTCCACGAGCCAAGAGCGGCCCTTGCCTGGGGAACCCCTCCCTGGGTATCTCGGGGTTCGTGGATTAGCGCGAGATCTATTGACAACGATTGCGCAGTTTGCTAACACCTGAGCGCGTGCGTAGCGCGCGAGATTCTAGTGTATGAGTGTGTGCCTATACATACACATTCCTAGAATTAGTGCTTTAATGCGTATGCATACATACGTACACATACATACATATACACATGCATACAGACAGACAGACATACAGACATACAGATATGCAGTCATGCACACATGCAGACCGACGACAGACAGACAGACAGACAGACAGACAGACAGACAGACAGACAGAAAGGCAGACAGACAGACTGGCAGACAGACACACATATATATATATATATATACATATGGATGTATAGACATATATAATTTATATGTGTGTACACACATAATGTGTATGCATGTGCTCTGACGTATGTACGCCTGCCCGCCCCGAGGAGCCGCTCCGCGCAATTGCCCCCGCTGGCCGCCGTGGACGCGCCAGAGCCCGTCTTCCCCGACAGAGACGCCGAGAGCGCGGGCGCCAGGCGCCCCCGCGCGCGCCGCCGGGCCCCCCCGCCCCTTTCTCCCCCGGTCGTCGCAAAAACCAGGGGCAGCGACCAGCGGCGGACGGCGGACGACGACGGCCACCACCACCACCACCACCACCACGGTCAAGCCCACCGCTCGCGAGGTGGCACGGGTTCGAGAGAGGCCCTCAAGAGACGTCATCGCCAACCATGGCCTGGGCAAGACTTCTCGAAGGGGAGGGAAACGAGGGACTGGCCGGGCCCGCACCCTTCTCCCCGCAGACCCACGCGTCGCCAAAACTGGGGGCAACGACCAGCGGGGGACTGGCCCAGGGGGGGGAGTATCGACCCCCAGCCACCCGTTCACCGGCAATCGGGGCTTGGGCACCACTTTTCGAAGAGAAGAGAAGCGAAGGACTGGCGGGGCGCCCCGCCCTTCTCTTCCGCAGACCCACGCCGTCGCAAAAACCAGGGGCAACGACCAGCAGGGGGCTGGCCCAGGCGTGCGGTGGCGCTCGTGGTCCGCCTCGCTTAGCGGGAGCCGTTGCTCTGTGGACGTGGGGGCTTGCAGGTTGGCCACCAGCTGGCTGTTCCCTGAGCTGAAATCGCGCTCGTCCACCAGGGCCAGCATCCATCGCCACAGGTTGGCACCGAGGGCTGGGGGGTCATCCTCTCCACGTGTCTAAGCACTGGATCCGCTGACGCATGGGTCGTTTTCCTGGCCCCTCCAGTTTCCGCCGGTTGCTTGGCTTGCCTTCCACCCATGACCACAAGGCTGGGTTCGAGTGCGTCCACCACGCATGAGGGTGAACTTCATGTCGTGTCTATTGCCGCATGCCACGCGATCGTGCTGCAAGTCGCCGGAGGAGGTAAAAGTGTTTTGCCGGCGGAAAAACTCTGGAGGCCACTCAGGATCTGGAGCTCGCTCTCGGGGACCATTTGGAAATCGTGGGCGATGTGACGAGGGCAATCAACAGGAGGTACACGAGGGTGCAGAGGGGACCCCTCAGCTGCAACCACCATTCGTTTCCCCCCCGTCAGCGTCCCGCCTATCTGGGGGCTGGCCGGCATCGTCTCTGTACATCGATCGACCAAGAAAGCATCAACGTGTTTGGACTCTAATGGCCCGATGTGGCCGTTCCTGGGTATTTGGAGGCTTCGATGGGGGGCTGAACATGGGCTCGGGCTGCGCTACGCATCCCCGCCGAGGACGATTACGTTCGACGACGACGACGTGGACCATGACCCAGACATCCGGCCAAGTACTTGTCCCAACCATCTTGTCGGGTTGGGTCCTCTTTTGGACGAGACAGCGCCCCGCGTCCTCTCCTCTTCTCTTCCTCCCATCCCTCCTCCCACCCCTGCCTTTGCCCTCTGCGTGCCCATTTCGGCACACGCACCCACACACACACACACACACACACACACACACACACACACACCTCACACGTTTCGTGGCCCCATGGGGAGCTCGACCGAAGGCCCCATGGGCACCGCTCGCACGTGTGCGTCGCATCCCTTTCGGCACACACGCACACACACACACACACACACACACACACACACACACCTCACACGCTTCGTGGCCCCAAAGGGAGTTCCTCCGAAAGCCCCAGTGGCACCGTTCTCATGTGGGTTTCACATCCTTTTCGGCGCACTCCTCGCACGTTTCATAGCTCCATAGAGGGCTCCACCGAAGGCCCCAGTAGCACCGCTCGCCCGTTCGCATGTGGGCGTCGCACCCATTTCGGCACACCCCTCACACGTCTCGTGGCCCCATAGGGAGTTCCACCGAAGGCCCCAGTGGCACCGTTCTCATGTGGGTTTCGCACCCTTTTTCGGCGCACTCCTCGCACGCTTCATGGTTCAATCGAGAGCTCCACCGGAGGCCCTAGTAGCACCGCTCGCCCGTTCGCATGTGGGCGTCGCACCCGTTTCGGCACACCCCTCACACGTCTCGTGGCCCCATAGGGAGTTCTGCCGAAGGCCCCACGGGCACCGCCCGCATGTGAGCGTCGCATCTTCTCGGCACACCCTTCACACGCTTCGTGGCCCATAGGGAGTTCCGCCGAAGGCCCCAGTGGTACCGTTAGCACGTGGGCGTCGCACCTTATTTCCGCACACCCCTGACTCGTCTCGTGGACGCAATTGGAGTTCCACCGAAAGCCCCAGGGGCACCGTTCGCATGTGGACGTCGCACCCTTGGTCGACACGCCCCTCACACGCTCTGGAGCCCCATTGGGAGCCCCACCGAGGCCCCCAAAGGCACCGTTCGCATGTGGGCGTCGCACCCGTTTCGGCACATTCTTCACACGTTTCGGAGTTACGTAGAGCGTTCCACCGAAGGCCCCAGTGGCACCGTACCCTTTTCGGCACGTCCTTTTCACGTTTCGTAGCCCCCATCCGCACTTTCCCGTGTTCCATCCCTTTCGAGGCGCGCTCTATGAGGAGAAGATCATTTTGGGGGTCATTCGCAACTTCATATGGTCGGGTCTTTCGCCAGTTTAATTCCCAATTGTACTGTGGTGTTGGTTCCTAGTTTTGAATCAGACAGCGCCCCACGCCTCACTCCTACATCCCGCTGCCCCCTCCCTCCCCTTCCCTGTATCTGTCCTCTACATGTCCCCATCACCATCATCAGCATCATGGTCATGAGTCATGGTCATCAGCAGCAGCAGCATTCAACATCAGCATCACCATCGTCCGTTGCAATGGTGGCTCAAGATCGAAACCAGAGGCCCGAGGCTTCGACCTCGATCGCAGCCAGAGGCTTGGCTCGAGAGCCCCGGCCAGAGGGTTGTTTTTGATCCACCCTACCCCATCCAGTGTGCGAGTTCCTGTCCCCACCTCTATCCTCTGATCGTTTGCAGCCATGGCCGTCGATTTGCAGCTCCTGAAGGAGATGGTTGCCGATCACAGAACGCAGTCCTGGCTCGGCTCGAGCACGATCAGCAGATGGCCGCTTCCAAAGCGCCCGCCTCCCGTTCGGCCCTCGTCAGACGCCGCGCGATGGACCTTCGTTCGGACCCGTCGACTGGCGCCCCAGGCGAAGGCACGCAGAGTTCGCTCGAAAATGCACATCGGCCCCCCGCTCGAGTCTCGGCTTCCAGGACTGTCTCGCGGCGCGGGCCCTCGAGCGAGCTGCCCAGGGCATCCTTTCGAAGTGCGCAGCAGAGCTGGCAGCAAGACTGATCCGCATCCGTGCGCGCGGTCTTCGGGAGGACGCGGCGTTCCCGCCATTGCGCCTGACTTCTCTGGCAGCTTTCGAGAGTTCGGCGAGGCGCATTGGACGACCAATCTTCGGGGCCCCGCTGACGCGCGGCCCCTCCGCGCTCGTCATACACGTTCGCATCCGCACCGTCTAATGTCATCCTAGGTGCGCAAGGCTCGCCGAGCCGCCTGGGAAGACACCCGCGAGCAGGACCTTCAAACTCATTCGAACGGGGTTGGTTGGGGTGTCTCTGGGCCCCGTTCCAGGGAAGATCCCGCTGTTCAGTTTCGCGTCACCGGCTGCCCGCAAGATCCACGGGCCGTTCGCGCGCGCCCATGGATGGCGCTGGGATCCGCGCGCTCGGGCTCGAGCCTGTTCCGCGGAAATTCAGGGGCACGGTTGAAAAGGCCCCTCGCGCCCTTTTGGAGGATGAACCAGACGCGCCAGGCTGCTCTAGTTCTTCTTTGGCCCCGGGCCCACTTTGGTTACAACGCGCGGTTGGTGGAGAGGGCAACGCCTCTAGTTCCCCCAGCAGCTGGGTCATTGAATCGGGCGAGCCCAGCTCGACCACTCACGATGGTGGGGGGCGCGCCTGTAAAATGCCCGCCCCACCTCCTCTCTCCCCCGCCATCTGCCTCTCTGTCTGCTCTAACCTGGAACGCGAGGTGGCTCCTCGCCGCCATCGCCGGCGCACTCTCGTCGGGCCAACGATCTCTGTCTGCAAGAAACCCATGGAGCTGCCGCGGACGCGTTGCGTCGCGACCTTCGTGGAGCGAGTCTCGGGTTCACTTGGAGTGTCTCTGAGATTGCTGATGGAGTTCTGATTGATTCATCAGCTTCTCTCTAACCCCCCGCTTCTTTGTTCCCTTTTCATTGACATTCGGCGCGCAGTTATGGATCCTGGGAGAATTCCCACGCCGGAATGCACTGGGCCGCATGGGTCTCTGGGCACTGAACGTTCATCCCCCCACTTCTGGCAAGCCCACGCGGGCTTTCTGTCGATCTCAAACCTACGGCATATCGAATAGGCTCTGGGAGATGCCGGGAATGCTTTGGTTCTGATTGGGGAGATGATTTCAATGTTGCTCTGGAGGAGGACGGGGGACAATGCGGCGACGGCCCTGGGCAGCGCGCTGGGGGCCAGCACCGGCATGCCCTCTTCGTTCAGGAATTTCCTCGCTGGACGGAAATACACGAGCCCGGTCCGATTCGTCGAGAGACACAGCGGGGCGCCGTTGCATGCCAGTCGTCTCGGCCGTCTTGCCCCCGCCAATCCCGCTGTTATCCTTTTTGTGAATTCTTTGCGCCATTCTCCGTTATTCGGATAGTCAACCTTGCGGAAGGCGCGTCCGACCAAATTCCAGCGTTTGTTTCGCCCCGTAGGCATGGACCATCAGGGCCCCCGAGGATGCCTCCCTGGGCTGAGTCGCGCTCGATCTCCTATGCAGAGCTCGATTTCTGGTTCAGAAATTTGATCAGCCCCCCTGGTCGATCAGGTCGCGCCGGCGAAAAATGCACGCGGGAGGCCTGCGCCGAAACACAGAGATGGATGGCCAATGCGTCAGCTACCAATGTAGATGAGAAGGTTCACTTTGCTCTCGCGGCATTGCGGGGAGCGCGCGTTCGGAACCTGCGGAGAGCCCCCCACGCTGTCCGCCGCCATCCATCGCTCGCTCACCCCTTTGATCCCGATGCTGGCATCTGTCGCTCCCCCCCCCGAACTTCTGCGATCGCATTCAGTCTTTGCAGAACGACCGCATCAGCGAGACGGACCAGGAGGCAGATCGGGAGTCCGAGGCTGAAGAGA